GATGGATGGAGGGAGGGAAGGGTGGATGGATGGACAGGTGGACAGGTAGATGAATGGATGGATATAGGTGGATGGATGGAGGGAGGGAAGGTTGGATGGATAGATGTGTGGATGAATGGATGGATGAGCGAGTGGATGGGAGGGCCTAGATTCAGGGTCAGGACAGTTTGTTTTTCCCAGACAAGATGTTTCAGGGGAAATCTCAATCAGAAACCCACCCCCACAGGGCTGGGAGGCTTTGGCAGGTGGTGCTCCCTCCCCTGACAGCGTGTAGCATGGTAGGTCCTTGTAAAGCTGAGTTGCTGGTTAAAGGCCCCTGGGTTCCTGCCAGACAGCCTCTCCCCACCTGAGCCTGGCTGATGCAGATTTCGAGCAGCGGATCACTGAAGGCCAAGGAGAGGCCACTCAGGGTATGGGGGCAGCTGCTGCACCCTCTGGCCCTTCCTTGGGTGGAGTATTGCCTCTGACACCCTTGTGTTCCTGAAAGGGCCCTTCCTTTCCGTCCAGGAAGGACCCCGAGGGCCTGAGTCTAGCAGACTCCCTGTCCCAGTGTGGGGATGGGAGGGGGCCCGACTCACCTGTCCACCCCTCCCGAGGGGTGCAGTCCTCTGCTGCAGGAGTGGGGAGGCAAGAATGGGGGCAGTAAATGCACAAACTGCTTCGAGGACAGGATGACACTTTATTATGCTCAGCCCCCACCTGCAGACCCCATAAACCTGGGTGCGGAGGTGGGAGTGAGCAGTGAGCAGGGAGGAAGGCAGGGAGCAAAGAGGAATCTTGACTGTGGATCGGGGGTCTGGGGGCATCTTGGGGTTTTCTCCACAACTGGAAGGCAGCCTGTGGGCCCCTCCTCAGTGAAGATCGGGTGCAAAGCAGAAATCCCCCAATCCCTAAACTTCCCTTCATTTGGGGCTGAGCTGCCAGGCCTCCTGCTCTCTCAGGAGTCCGTGCCCCCCACCATTCTACACCGGCCTGGCGGAGGCAGGGCCAGGCATGGGGGGCTACCACCAGCACCCCCACACCTTCAGCTCCTGTTCCAGGGATCCCCAGGCCTGGATTTGTTCATCCTTCAACCTTGGGGGTCCCGGAGGGCTGGCCTAGGCAGCAGGCTCACAGGACGACAGGGGCGGGCCGGGTGGGCACAGGAGGGCTCTGGAAGGCGGGGGGCCTAAGGGACCTCGAGGGTGCTGGAGACAGAGACTGGCCGCACTCCTGGCTGCCCGGCCCTCTCGGGGGGGCCGGCCTCTCGGGCGTGGGCGCTGTCGCCTCTCGGGGGCAGCTCCTTGTAGCTGTAGTACTCCACCAGCTGCCTGGGCACCTCGGCCAGCACGCACTTGGCCAGCGCTGCCGGGGACGCCTTCAGAGCGGGGACAGCGTGGTTACAGCTGGGGGCCTCCCGACCCTCTGGCCGCCCAGCCCATCACACCCCAGCCTCATCCTCTGGCGCTGCGGCCCCCACCCTCTAGTAGAGGGTGTCCCGCAGCTGACCAGTAAGTCTCCTGGCGGCCAGGGGAGCCTTGGTACGGGATGTAGAACCGAGGATACGAGGCTGCAGTGGCCCACTGCTGAATGGGGCTCCAGCCTGAACGGCACCTGCGCCCACGTGGCCCCGCCCCTCCCCCAGGCACACAGGGCAGGTGTGAGGCAGGAAGGAGGTGGGCGCCCCCCTAAAAAGCCCTGTGAGTGTCCACCGGTCGTGAATTTCCTTCCTGTGTCTCACAAAGGGTCTGAAAGTGCCTGGGGAGCCCACTGTGCTGCCTTCTCTCCTGTGTGTAGGTTCGATATTTTCAAAATAGGAAGGTTTCTAGGTGCTTGAGAGCAGTTCAAGTCCTGCTCCTCCCTGGGAGCCTGGGGGGAAGGCCCTGGACCACCCCCCCCCCCCGCCCCCCGCATGCACTCACGCTCTTGAGCTCCCGGAAGGGCACGAACTGCACAATGTCTCGGAGAGCTGGCTCGCCCCGCGGGGAGCGCAGGATGCCGTCGTCCCCGTCCAGGGTCTGCATATCCGTGAAGTCGGCGTTGCCCACCCCCACGATGATGATGGACATGGGCAGGTGGGAGGCACGCACAATGGCCTCCCGTGTCTCAGCCATGTCGGTCACCACACCATCGGTCAGGACCAGCAGAATGTAGTATTGCTGGGGACACAGGGAAAGAGTGGGCACGGGTCCCCCACCCCTTCCTCAGGCCCTCGGGGGTTGTCTGGGACCCTTGAGGGCCGCTTCTACCCCCCAGGCAACCGCAAGTCCCCCAAGCAGCTCCCCTCCCCCAGAAAGCCTGGGAGCCACTGCGGGCATCCAGAGCTGAGGGTGTTCAGGCTTTTCTGAAATTGTTGCTAAAGAGTAGTTCATCACAACCACAAGACATCCTGAGCTCATTTACTGTGGCTGGATGCGTCCGCCCATCTCCCAACCCATCGTACAGATGGAGAGGCTGAGGCTGGTGGAGCCTGGGTCCGAACCCACGTCCGAGGCCCAAGAAGGAGGGTCCTGTGGGCTGCCAGTGTACAGGGCCTCCCACACCCTAAAGGGACCCTGGGATCCAAGGAACAATTTAGAGAGGACACCCTCTGGCCCAGCCTGGCCAGGTGCTCAGTACATCAGCACAAAGACAGACTGGGACTTGTTTCAAATAAAAGTCCATTTCCCTTGTTAATAAACAAAAAAAACAGGGGTTGTGGCACCTGAGTGGTTCAGTCAGTTAAACATCTAACTCTTGATTTTGGCTCAGGTCATGATCTCAGGGTTGTGAGTTCGAGCCCCGCGTCAGGGTCCGTGCTGGGCGTGGAGTCTGCTGGAGATTCTCTCTCTCCCTCTGCCCCTCCCCCCCACCTCTCTCTCTCTCTCTCTCTCTATCTCTCAAAAAACAAAACAAAACAAACAGGGCAGCTGGCTGGTTCAGGCACGCAACTCTTGATCTCAGGGTCGTGAGTTCAAGCCCCACATTGGGTGTAGAGATTACTTAAAAAATAAAATCTTTAAAAAACAAAACAAACACAAAAATCCCCAAAAACAGAACTACTAAAAATCAGTACTAAAAACCTGGACAAGAAAAAACATAAAGGAGAAAAAAGAAGACCCTAGCCCAGTGGGCACAGACACTGTGACACCACGTGAGGGAAAGACTAATGGGCATCACCAACAGGGTCATCGTTGCCAAGAGGCCCCCTGCCCTCCTCCTCCCCAGAGCCCCAGATCCATGGGAGGACTGACCGTGTGCTGGGCAGTCTGAGGACCCCTGGCTGGACCCAGCTCTGAGCCCCGTGGACATAGCCCCTCCTCAGGAAAGCCCGCATGCCCTCCTCCTGCCCCTAGACTAGGTCTCAAACACCGAGCTCCGTCGCCGTGAGCACGGGGCCTCCCAGCACTGTGTGTGTGACTGTGGTCTGGCCCCAGGAAGCCACGTGTGACTTGGGAGGGAGTGACACCGCTTTCCCTCGGGACGAAAGAGACGGGCAGGGGAAGATCAGGTGCACTGAGAAGCGGGTCCCAGGTTATGCCGAGCGCCTCCCCACCGTATCAACACCACTACTGTTCCACAGGAAGCAATCTAGCAACCCACAGAAGCCCCTGTGAAGCATCTTGGCAGAGATGGAGGCTCTGAGCACCAAGGAGGACAGAGGCAGACATGCGTGCCTCCTGGGGACACTCCCACCACCTCCTGGGAAGTCGAATCAGAAGACAAGAATGTGGTGAATGCCCCCACGGGGCACAGTCGGCAGCCTCGAGACCCGGAGACCCTACAGGACTCCCCCTCCATCAGCAAGGGAAGGCGGAGGACACGTCCACAATCACAGTGGGGCCATTTCACCCCCGTTCTGCCATAGAAGCCACCGGGATGGGACACGAACCATCCAGCGGGACATGTGTGCTACCCAGATGTTTCATATTTAGATACTGGTATTTCAATACCGAGGGAATTACTGTCGTGTTTTAGGTGTGGTCATGGCACTGTGGCTCTCTTTTCTCTCTTCGAGAGGTTTATACTGATATTTACAGACGAAGTTATGTGTCTGGGACTTGCTTCAAGATCATATGGAAAGGGGGAGGGGAGGAGGGGGGAGGGAGGAAACACGGAAAGAAGTCAGTGACCTCAGGTGAGGGATGGAGCACTCTTCTGCAAATGTGATGTCTTTTACAGAATAAAAAGGTACAGCAACAGACCAGCAGTGCATACAGCAGCACAAACAGATCTACAAACATGTTGAAAAAGGAAATCAGGGGCACCTGGGTGTCTCAGTCGGGGAAGCGTCTGCCTTCCACTCAGGTCATGGTCCCAGGGTCCTGGGATCGAGTCCTGAATCGGGCTCCTTGCTCAGTGGGGAGCCTGCTTCTCCCTCTGACCCCCCCCCCACACTCATGCTCTCTCTCATAAATAAACAAAATCTAAAAAAAAAGAAAAAGTAAAGCAGAATGCAACTTTCAGCATAATATTATTTGTGAAAAATAAAAAGACACACAAACAAAATAATATGCGCACGGCAGAACAACAAACAGCCTGTTGGGAAGGGACTGGGCAAATCAGCCTGCAGGGGGTGTGACCCCGCCAGGTGAGAGTTATACCTGTGCCTCTAGGGGGGCTTTGGGGCCCCCCTGCATCCCCCAGTACCCCAGGCCTGCGCCTCCCTGACCGCCATGCCCCCCTCACACACTGCAGCCCATACCTGGCCCCCCAGCGGCACGCACCACCTTCTCATGCACCCCGGCCCCACCTTGCCACCTGCCCCAGGTACCTACGGAGGCCTCCCCAGTGTGTTCCTCGGCCGCGGCCATGCGGGCCACCTTGGAAATGATGGGGGCCACGTTGGTGGGACCGTAGAGCTGGACCCTGGGCAGGCAGTTCTGGTAGGCCTCCACCACACCCTGGATTCCTGTGGGGGAAGGAGGGTGAGCCCGGCCCGGGGGCACCCCCACCCAGGCCTGCCTCAGGCCCCTACCTTCACACTCATCGTCCTCAGGGTTGAAGTTGATGGCAAAGTCATGGGACACCTGGGTGGGCACAGAGGGACTGTCAGCTGGGCTACCCCTCCAGGACCCCCAGCCCCCACCTCCCGGGAGAGGTAGGTTTGCAGCCCCTGGGGCCCCCACGTTGACAGAGCCTCATGGAGGGAGTCACCTGGGAGAGAGGGCAGTCGGACTAGTCCTTCAGCCCCTGCAGCCAGGGGGTCTGAGATGCTTTAAACCAATAAATCCCTCCCACCACCATGTTCTTCAGCTATTTGCTACTGGAAGTTTCCAGACTCATTCCCCTTCTCCTGACAGGGACACAGAGTTTTCTTCAGTTCCCCCAGAGGGTCACTGGAGCTAGGTGACCAAGGTCAGCCTCTCTGGCTGGAAGTGCAGGGAGGCTGCGTTCCCACCAGTGAGAGGCCCCCGCTGAGGGGTCCCAGGACCCAGGATGGCCTCTGCTGGGGACAAGCAGCCTGGCCCCAGAGGCCCCACCAGATGCAGGGGGGTGGGGTCCCGGTCCCCAGGCTCTCCTACCTCATACTTGGGAGGGATTCGGGCTCCAAACCCCAAAGCAGAAAACCTCTTGTCGCTGGAAGAGAGGTGGCCCCATCACACAGGGGTCCCTGATTTCCCTGGGGGTGGGTGTGCTTTGGGGAGATGTCCACCAGAACCAGGACAGCCGGGCTCTATTCCACCCCTGTGTGACCAGGCCCAGGCTGACACTTTCTTGGGTGCCCGGCCCTGCTCCGAACCACACGGGGGAAACTGAGGCACTGAGCAGTGAGGAAGACACCCAGCCTCCAGGCAGGGGCAGACACAACTCCTCCAACTCTGGGACCACAACCTGACCCTGGGAAGCGTTGGCCTCCTGTCTTTGGGACTCAGCTCTCTGCTCCTCACCCCCTGACAGAGGGGTCTACCCCTCCATGGCCACAGTTTACTGGTCTATAAATTGGGCCACCCCCCATGTTTGCGGGAAGGGTGAAGGGGCCATGTGAGTGGGGGCCAGCCCCACCTCAGGGGGCTGGGCTGCCCATGCGGATCAGCCACGCAGGGACATCTGGGGCTGGCCCGTGGAGTAAGCCCCACCCACTGTGGCCCCGGACACTGCCAGCTTTCCTTGGGCCAGTGGATACAGCCATCATGCCCACCCCTGGGCCCAAACCTGAGCTGGAGCCAGGGAGGCAGGGAGGCTGGGGGCAGGGAGGCAGGGAGGCTGGGGAGGCTGGGAGGCAGGGAGGCAGGGAGGCAGGGAGGCCGGGGGCAGGGAGGCAGGGAGGCCGGTGAGGCAGGGAGGCCGGCAGGGAGGCTGGGGAGGCAGGGAGGCAGGGAGGCCGGGGGCAGGAAGGCAAGGAGGCCGGGGGCAGAGGCTGCACCTGTCATAGTCCTGGCAGATCTCCCCCACGGCCACCAGAGCCTGCAGGTACTCGTTGGGCTGGAAGGGGTTGATATAGTGCAGAGAGCAGCTGTTCCGGGGGTCACCATTGGAGGCCGTGAAGTCGATGGCCACCTGCAGAGATCCCGACTCATGAGCTGGGGGCCCCTCTCCCACCCGGGCTGGACTAGGCACACAGAACCCCCATTTGAGAGGTAAGGGAATAAGCTGTGGGGAGCTGCTTGGCAAGGGGTGCAAACTAGCGCAGTCCCCAGGGCCGTCTGAGGGCCCAGCTCTGTGCTGGGGTGGGGGCCGAGGGCAACGAGCACTGACCAGCACTGACCAGCACAACCGGATGGAGCCTACATCCTCAGGAAGGAACAAGCCCCTCCCTCTCCCAGTACCACCAGCCTGTCACTGGGCCTGGGGCGGGGCCGTGGGAAGGGACCCAAGGCCAAGACTCGCCTCAGCTGCCACCCTGCCTGGGCAGGGTCTGAGAGTTCAAGCCTGCCGCCCCTGCCGGGACACTTCCCTCAGGCCCCTCCTGCTGCTGCTCAGGGGACAGACAGGAGCCCATGCATCCTTGAATGAGCAACAAGGCAACACACGGGCTCTCCAGCTCCAGGCCAAGCCCCGGCTCCAGACCAGGCCACGGCAGCTCGGTCTTGGGGCTTCTGGTGTTGTCCCTGGCGGTGACAAGTGTCACTCTGTTCTCTCCTCGTCTTTCTGTCATTGCTTCTGTTGAAGCTGAGTCCTGGCTCCATCCCTTCCGGATGGGGGACCCTCTATGCACAGGAAGAGCCCAGAGCTGGGCAGGGGGTGTGTGGACCCTGCAGACCCCGCAGAGGGGCCTGACTACACACATGTATGCACCTCGGCCCCCGCCATCCGGGTGGGGAGGCTGCCCAGGCTCTGCGGGGGTGGAGGGGCTCCACGGGGTGGGCTGGGGAGCAGGGGTCCCGGGCGCTCACCGTGAAGTGGATCTGACAGCCACCCATGATGTAGTCCAGGAACGAGTGAACCCTGTAGAACTTCCAGGCAGGGGCGTCGGCAGGGCCCACCCAGGATGCCCCACGCCCAGACACGGAGGCTGGAGCCCCAGGGACCTGCCCTCCCCCAGGGGAGCTCCCTGGAGCGGCCTGACCCCCAGCTGCCCCCCCACTTCCCTTCTCTGACCCCTCCTCCCCTCCATTCCTTCCACTTCCCTCCCCCAAGGACTAGGGAGCCCCGGGGCTCTGGGATTAGGAGCCTTTGAGGGTCCATCTGACAATGGGGAGACTCGCAGGGAGGGGCGTGCCCCTGCCCCGTTGGCTCTCTGCAGAGTTCAGGTGGGAGCCAGCCCCCAGCCCACTGTGGGTGAGGCAGGCGTCGCAGCTCACCTTCAGGTCTGCCAGGATGACCACCCCAGAGTTCTTGTAATGACGCTTCTTCTGCTTGTATTTGGCATTCACGCAGTCCCACTGGGCCTGGGGGACAGGGATAGGCAGAGACCCCCACCCCCCGAGCGCCAGTGCCCAACACCCACCCCAAGGGAGCAGGGAGGCCTCAAAACCCCAGCCCTGAACAGCATTTTTCCAACTGTAATGAGGCAACTGATGTCCCTGGTCTGGCCACCTGGCAGCGTGGTCATCAGTCTTCTCTGGGTTTTACCAGTAATAACAGTTTCTGGAAGTTTCTGGAGCCAGCCGGGCTCAGCGCCAGCGCTCTACCTACCTCCTGTGGCTCCTTCCAGAGAACCCTGTGCAGATGGGTCAGAACCCAGCGTTCACCCACTTTCCACCCTGTTTTTAGGTGGGGGGAGGGAGGGGCCCAGCTCACCTGGTCCTCCCCGAAAGCTTTCTGCATCTCCTCAAAGGTGGTGGAGAATTCCCCGATGAAGTCGTGCTTTCCGCGGGAGTCATAATCCCAGATGAGGCACTGGGGAGCCCAGGCCCCCTCAGCCCGCTGCCCCTGTGGGACCCCACCTCGAGGTCTCAGGCTCCCCTCACCCGCCCCTGGCCCGTCCTGCCCCACCTTCAGAGGCCGCGTCTCCTCACAGCTGCACAGATTGCTCAGGGACACCTTGAAAGGCTCCCACACAGGGCTGAGGTTGTTCTTCACCACCTGGGGGCGGGGGGGCGGGAGGGGGCTGGTTCGGTTTCCTCCGGGAGCCACCTCTAGAACTTCCGCCACATTCCCAGGCCACCTGGAACCCTGTTCTTTAAATAGCCTCTTTTTCTTACTCAGATTAATTTATCTCAAAAGGAGACGATGTCTCAGTGCTCTAACTGAAATGCCATTTCACCTGCAGGCAGGGATGACAAAACACAGTTGTGGGTTCCAGCGGCAGACGCGCCTGGCCTGGCCGCCTGGTCGGCCGGCTCCTTGTTGAAGGAGATGGGCGCTGGGAGGACGCGGGGGAGTGACGGGGCTGGCTCCTTTCCCTGTCCTCTCATTCCTGTCCCCAGAGCACTGCAACGGATGTCAGGTGCTAGGCAGGGAGCCCTCACCTCTGTCCGGTACACCAGCTGCTCGCTCTGATCATCATTGACCCGGTAGAGCTCCAGGAAGGGGTCCGACTTGCTGAAGAGGTCCTGGAGGAGGGCAGAGGCTGTGCTTACCGGCCCCACTCTGCAGCTTCCCAGCAGTGCTGTTCACCCCCACGGAGCCTCCATCCCCTTAGCTATGAAATGAGGGTGAGAGCCTCTCGGAGTGACCCTAGGCTGCCCTCCCCTCTAGAGCCTTCCCTGGCTCCCCAGCACCCTTCCTGTGACTCTCCGGCCATGTCTGCATACGCTCGGCTAGCCCCAGCTGCTGGCCCCCTCCTCCTCCCCAGGCTCCCATCTGCCTGGCCAGCGGGGCAGCAGGACACACCCTCCAGCAGGTCCGACCCCTGCTCTGTGTGCTCCCACCCCATGTGAGAGCCGACAGAACCTGGCTCAGAGCAATCCCTCCACTGTCTGGATGGCAGCCTCCCTGAGCACGTGTCCCCATCGTTAAACGGGGCCACGAGCATGAACAGAGGTTTTGGGAAGGGGCCCAGCGCCCAGAAGAACACAGCCAAGAGCCAGTGACTGACACGGGGACAGGAGCAGCCTCCTGGCGGCCCCACAGGGCTCCAAGCGCCTCTCACTCAACACAGCGCTCGTTCCCTGGAAGGCTCTGACGGGGAGGGCAGCGCTGGGGGTGGGCTGTCCTCGTGGCCCCACGCGGGCGCCCGCCACGCACCTTGTCATCCAGCTTCCGGGCCCTGAAGGAGAGCTCCACGTAGCCATTGTTCCCGGAGATGTCCTCAGCGATCACCTGGGAGGGGAAGCCACGGCCCTGAGCTCTGCAGGCCGGGTCCAGGGGAGGCACCAGGACCGCCCCCCCCACCACAAGGCAGCCTCGGGCCTCGCCCCTCAGAGCTGCGTTGAGGAAGGGGTGGGGTCTGCCGGGTGCAGGGGCTGGGCGGGAAGGCGGGCAGCCTCACCGTGATGGTGGACTTGCCGGCGTTCCTGCCGAACTTGAGCAGCAGAGCGCGGGTCATCTTCTTCTGCGCGACGATCTGGAAGTCAGAACAGTCAGGGAGGGGTCAGCTCCTGTCCCCTGGGGACCCTGCCCTCAGTCCCCCTGGGCAGCCTGGCTCTGCCAATCCTACGACCCAGGGCCCCACAGCCTCGGGGCCCGGCAGTGACCAACCCACCAACCCGCTCTGGAGATGCTCGGCCACCTGATGGACATCCCTCTGTGCGGCTGTGGACGAGGGGCCCTCTCGTCCATGTGTCGGGAGAGGAGGAAGCAGAAACAGCACCCCACACGCCAGACGGATTGCACACCCAGCCCCACCCAGCCCCGATTCCTCAGCGGCCTGGCCCCGGCCCCCAGGCAGCAAGGTGCTTCAAACCCCCCTGGCCAGCATGAGGCCGAGGGGGTTCCTGGGCGCTACCCTGGACCCCCAGGCTGCCCTGAAGGTGGCAGAGGGCTTGAGAGCAAGAATGGAGACACCAAGCCAGCTCTCCACCCTCCTGTGCGTTCGTGCAGACCATGCTGTCCCATGGACATCCTTGGTGCTATGCCCTCCCTGTGGGCTCCTCCCCGCTCCTGCCCACCTGGGCCTCCCCCTCACCTGGCCCTGCGCAGATGCTTCCCTCATCTGGCTACAAACCCCTAACTGGGGCCTGTGAGTTGACCCAGGGAAGCTGTGTGCAGCACTCAGGTGGGTGGGCGCCCTGGTCTGTAGACGGGTTCAGTGAGGACAGCCCCTCACAGCTACCAAAGGCTCCATGACGCTGTAGGGCCCCACCCATTGCTGGCCAACCGAGACCAAGCTGTCGCCATGGTGACGGTGACCCAGATGCTCATTAGCACTTACCTAGCCTCACCGTCCACCGGCTCCTGGAGCTGGGGTGACTACGGCACAGTGAGCTGAGTCCGCTCAGATACTCCCAACCTACACACCCACGCGGCACTGCCTAGCTGACAGCTCCCGAGCCCCTGGGACCGTTCGCTGCACGTGGGGAGGTCAACACAGGCTAAGGGGTGCCGGGGGGGCCATGTCCCGAGCCTCCCCAGGTGCTCCCACTCGTAGGCTCCACTGCTGGGGCTAGCTCGTTTGCGAACCGGTTCAGGTGGATGAGCATTCTTCTCTCGGTCCCCCAACTACCCCCTGAGATGGCTGAGGCTTGGAGGTTCAGGCAGAGGTCAGTGACTTGCTCCAGGTCCTGGGACTGGGATCTGCAGCCGGTGTCGGGACCTCGAGCTCCGCCTGCAGCTGCCCTGATGGCCGTGTGGGCCTGGCGAGTCAGCTGAGAGCGGGCCATGTCAGCCTAGACATGCGTGCGCCCACACCTGTTCCTGTGTGTGTCCAAGCATGCATCTGTACCCTCACCCTGGACCTGTGCCCGATGTACACGTATGTCCATGCATACATGTCAACACCTGTGCGTCCACACATGTGTCTGCGGTGTGCGCTATTCTCTCCCATGCTCGAGACGAGCAGGGGGGAAGCCACCCGGGGGGATCCTGCTCTGCTGCCGTGCCCCTCCTTTTTTTTTTTTTTTAAGATTTTATTTATTTATTTGAGAGAGTGAGAATGAGAGAGAGCACATGAGAGGGGGGAGGGTCAGAG